ACGCATTTTTCAAAGTTTTTAAATAAACTCATGCACTTAATGTATAATTAATATTAATAGTTATTCGTTATTTGCGGGGAAGAATTTATATTGTTTAAAGCCAATTTATTTTCTGACAATATTAAGCATATGAATAAAGGAATAAATCACGAATGAGAAAAAAATTAGTTAATAATTTTTCAAATTAAACAACTTTCTCGAAAAACAAGTTGCATTTTATTTTATTTATATAAAATTTAATTCACAGAATATTCTCACTCTTAGTCTCATAATGACTTTAAATACAGTATCCTGAGAATATCTTCTTGACATCCAGAAGATATACTAAGAATATCCTGAAAATATCTGTGGGATATCCTGATGATATCTGTGGGATATCCTGACGATATCTATGGGATATCTGGAGGACATTTATGAAAGTCTATAGAGATATCCAGAAGATATCCTGTGGATATCCTCAGATATCCATGGGATATCCAAAGGATATCCAAACCGCCAATTTTTTTAATATCCTTAAGAGATCCTTTTGAATTTGTTTTATTTATTTTGCTACTTTCCTTTTATATAATTTCACTTTTTTAAATTTTTGTTTTTATTCTTGTTCTATTTTGCATTTTTGTTATATTCTTTAAATTTGTCTTCATTTTAATTAATTTATATTGCTTCATTGTTATTTTTTTTTTTATTAATTTTCGTATCATAGCTATTAATTTAATTTCTTTGTATTTTTTTTTGTTTTTAATTAATTTTTATAATTTTTATAATTTTTTTTTTTATTTATTGTCAAAGTCGGACGTGAAAATTTGATAATTATTATTTGTTTAAAATTTCATCTTTTAAAAATTTAGTTATGCAATGTATAATATTTATGTATTTATTGATCTTGATCGAATTTTATTGATGAAACGAAACAAAAATCACAACTGATTTTTTTCAGAATGAATCAACTTAATTGGATTAAATTCAAGTGTTCAGTTTAATCAAATTAGTAAATATTTATAATAATAATAATAATAATAATACATTCTATGTACCTTAAAGTCCATGACATTGTACATTATAACGAGTAAATTGATGATATAAACACCGGTACACGTGTTGCAGACTTTAAGTGACGTGTTGAACGATATAATGATGACTGACCTTGAAAAACAGGTTGAATAAATTTTTTTCCTTTTTTTTTTTTAAATCAGTCCTTATTCACGTATAAGAGCGCTTATTCTCTCTATTTGAAACGTTATGTGTTATATTAGTAACCAACCAGCAAGAGAGTCTCGCTTTGCAATTCATCCACTGACGAGCTGGATGAGCAGAAATCTAATGTGCAAATCAAGTTGTCGGCACATTGATTACGATTTATACGTGTGACTGTATTTTCACGCCTACCTGAATATACTTCAATTGATATAAAGATGTGTAAGTACTTTTTGCATTAAACTTTAAGATTTTTCTCTATTTTATTCGCATAACTTTATTTTTTTTCCTCTTAATTTTTTTAATGCATTTACACATATATATATATATAACCACATATACACATAAAGACTTATACACAGGTAAGGACATTTATATCTTTTTAACTGTAAAGAACAATCAATTATCACTATTATTTTTTTCCTAAGTGATGAGTTACTCATTTCATAAACTGATGTTTTGCTACTTTATTTCCTTAACGCTTTTTTTCATTATTAATTCTGCAATCAGTTATACTAATTTAAATAAAATATGCAATTAAATTTGGTTTTTATTTCACAGGAAAAATATTGATTTTTGCGTTGATTACACTGAGAAAAAATGGATATTAAAAAATTATTAGGAGAACAACTTTTTATTTAAACGGTTTTAATTTAACAGAATTTTATGTGATTACAATTTAAAAATACCAAAATTTTCGATTCACCAAATTTTCATTTAACCGAATTTTTATTGGCACAAATTGTTATGAAATAGAATTCTTAAAACGCCGAATTTCCATAATTGTCCGCAATTGCAAATGACCGAAAAACAATTGACAGAAGAATTTTTGCGCTAATTTACAAAATTAACCAATCAGAATTTATCGAGAAAATTGTGATTGGTAAATTGTTAAATTCGCATCGTAATCGATTGTTTGTCTGACTTTTGCAATTTCGGACAAATGAAAATTCGTTGTTTTTGCTGCATTTCAAAATGAGTAGCGCCTCATTTTGAGACCAAGTTTATTCTGTGTATGTTCAAAATTTATGTAAATCTCTCTCTCTTTATGAGTTCCCTTATTTTTTAACAATATATTTCAATATATTCAATTTTCGAAAGCGTTTATAAATTTTAACAACAAGTCAATCATTAACTAAAGAAACAACAATTTGACATAAATGTCATTTTCATTTGTTTCAACATTATATATATAGCTAATCGACAACTTGTGGAAAATGTTAACAAAACAATTCATTGCCTTTTTAGAAAATTCATATATTTAATAAACAAATGCAAATGACATTTATGTCAAATTATGTTTTCTTTGGTTAATGATTGACAATTGTTAAAATTTACAAACGCTTTCGAAAATTGAATATATTGAAATATTTTTAAAAGTAGATTCCAATTAACTTATTTTCCTTCTGTATTTTTAAGTTTTTAATTTTGTCAAAATTAATCGGTAATATGTAATATTTAAATTAAAAAATAGACATTTTAAATAGAATAAATTATTTTCGCTATACAAACTGTGAAATTAAAGCTCATAGTTAATAGTTTATTTTTTATATTGTTTTAACTCTATTTATATTGGAATATTTTTTTGTAGCAAACATCTAAATCTTTGACACGTTATCAAAAATCAAAATCAATTAAGTTATTCATCGATATCAAATGTAGGGTAAGTGTATGAATTACTGCTGATGCGCCAATTACTGCGATTTTTATAAAATTAGTAAAACTTAGTAATTGAAAACATAAAACTGTTTCAAAATGACTTTAAAACTTATTACAAATGATATTTGATATTATATCCACTAATGATGCATATTTCGACTATTATCAAATTATTTATTTCAAGTTACAATTGAATCTATCACAGTAATTAGAGTATGCGTATATTTTTCGCATTCTGCTATTACTGTGGTCTATCCAGTCAACCTAACCTCTAAATCAACACTTTTAGCGATGCAGTAATTGGTTCACACCATTCGCAGTAATTCATGCAAACTTGCAGTAATACCAGTATATGCCATTTTTAAAAAAGTTAATATTTTTAATAATATATTTGTTATTTCTTCAAGTTTAAAGTTTACACTTTTATTATTTTATCATTAAAGTCAGTCTTGGGTTGTACATCACAGTAATTGGGACATTTACCCTAGGTCTTAAAAAACTTTAATATATTTTTAAAAATTACATAACAGATATAGGGCCGGGGGGGGGGGAATAAAACGATTTTGTTACACCTTGTTACCTAGAGGGAGGGGGGATTCGAAATTTTTATAAAAAAATATTACCTATAATTTTTGAACGACTCCTAAATATAAGTCAATACAATTTGCATATTTTTTAATCATTTTCTTAATATAATCGAATTTGTTTCGTAAAGAAAACATTTGTCGCTGTTTTATTGAGACAAAAAATTCATTCATTCATTTCTCCTATATACAGCAAATATTGAGGGGAGGTCCCTGATCCATTCTCTTTAATGTACCAAAAAAAAAAAAAAAATACGACAAAATACACTTCGTTCCGAGTTTTCCGTTAAATAAATACAATCTAACAATTGAAGTTGATTTGGCGAAAGATGATGGAGGGTTTTTTTTTAAAAAAGAAGAAAAAAAAAACAGAAAAGCTAAATGAAGTTCTTAATCATGGCCAATGTCTTCTTCAACTCCCGGGCAATAACTTCTCGATAAAAGCTCGTTCCGTGGCTCCCCCCACTCCATCCTCTTTATATATTTTTGGTTCAATAAGTATGGAGAGAGAGAGAAAGAGAGAGATCGGATACTTTCTGTGCGATTCGCTCTTTCTTCGCTCCGCAAAAGGGTGCGGATTTTGTTATATATATATATATATAGAAGACGAGAAGCCCAGTACACCGTGCTTAATCGGTTATCCTGTTTATTGTTTTCCGGTGCGGGTGAAGAGGTGTTCGACTGCTAAGTTTGCATTTAAACCCCCTTTTGGTTCCGCATACCGACTAGAGAGGTGGTTTTAGGTTTGGGTTTGAGTTTTCAGATCCGGGATTACCTTATCTCCGGACTCTCACTCGCTCGCATGCTCGCTCACTCGCCAATTCTCAAAACGAAAATGCACAAGCCATATAGTGAGGCGTTACGCGAGACGATTTAAACCTCGGAAATTGTCCACGATATGTCTCTCTTTCTCTGTATACTATATATGTATGTAAGACCGATTTTGGTTTTCCATTTTGCTCGTATTCTCTCGTTTAAAAAAGAACAACCTTCCCATAAAAGAGTGTTTTATGAAAATTAACCCACTTTATCGTGTTCTGAGTCACATGTAATCCTCGCAATTCTAATGTTGAGTCTCTTGGATTTAAGAATTGTTTTTTTTTCTTTATAAATCAATAAAACTTATTGCTTTTTCTTACATTCATGTTTTATTTGAATCAAATATAATATAATATGAGTTAAATAAACGCGCGTATATTTTATTTATTTCAGAGATTGATAGTCCATTTATTTGGCGTAAATAAAAATTTTATTTGTTATAAATAAAATTTTTTATTGTTAATAAAATAAATAAACAAACTGAATCTAAAAATACAAGTATTATTATATTATCGCATATATATTTTTCTACAATATTAATTTCGATGGAAAAATGTGTTTTTAAAGGTTTTTGGTGGCATTGACTGTTCTAAGACTGTTTCAAGACTCTGAATATAGCCGCATGTTCCAGGATTGCCGCTGGCTTCGAGGGTATGTCCGACAGACAATCTCAAAGCAAGAAACGAACATAACCTTAAAATCTACCTTACCTTACCTAATATACCTAATCAATCCAAACTAATCTGGGTGGGGCGCTGGGTTCGAGGCTATATCCTACAGATATGACATCAAATACCCCTAACCAAGAAACAAACATAACCTCAAAAATTACCTTCCCTTACCTAACCTTATCTAATCAACCTAAATAACCTGGTTAGGGATATCGAAGTTATGTCTGACAGACATAACCTCAAATATCCCTAATGAGGAAACTAACATAACCTCAAAAATTACCTAACTTAACATTGCTAAAAACATAGGTTTCGAGATTATGTCCGACAGAGAACCTCAAACCAAGAAACGAACATAACCTCAAAAATTACCTTACCTTACCTAACCTTATCTAATCAACCTAAATAACCTGGGTAGGCCGCTGATATCGAGGCTATATCCGACAGACATAACCTCAAATATCCCTAACCAAGAAACTAACATAACCTCAAAAATTACCTAACTTAACATTGCTAAAAACATAGGTTTCGAGGTTATGTCCGACAGACAACCTCAAACCAAGAAACGAACATAACCTCTTAAATTACCTTACCTTACCTAACCTTATCTAATCAACCTAAATAACCTGGGTAGGCCGCTGATATCGAGGTTATGTCCGACAGACATAACCTCACACAGAAAATTAAAAGGCATTAAAATAAGAAGCGTTGCAGCTTATTTTAATGCCTTTTAATTTTCTGTGCAAATATCCCTAACCAGGAAACTAACATAACCTCAAAAATTACCTAACTTAACATTGCTAAAAACATAGGTTTCGAGATTATGTCCGACAGACAACCTAAAACCAAGAAACGAACATAACCTCAAAATCTACCATACCTTACCTAATTTACCTAATCAATCCAAACTAATCTGGATAGGGCACTGGGTTCGAAGCTATATCCGACAGACATGACATCAAATACCCCTAACCATGAAACAAACATAACCTCAATAATTACCTTACCTTACCTAACCATATCTACATCTAATATCTACATTGTTAAAAACATAGGTTACGAGGTTATGTCCGATAGATATAACCCATGGAGTAGTATAAGGAGACCGAACGACGTACATTGAAAGTGGACCAAATTTTGGTAACCGCTTAGTGTCATGAAAATACGTAATGGAACACAAGCGCTCTCGTGGGAAGTATGTAAACAGTGGGAAAAATTAGAAGTACATTAAACATAACCCAAAAATACATTTCTCCTTATTTTTAAAACTTTTACAATGGCTGACTGTTCAGCTGAGTTTAACACAATCAGTGGCGCTAGTGTTCCATTACGTATTTTCATGACACTAAGCGGTTACCAAAATTTAGTCCACTTTTAACGCAGATTTAACATGGTCGTTCGATCTCCTTATACTATTCCATGATATAACCTCAAATACCCCTAGCCAAGAAACGAACATAACCACAAAAATTACCTAACCTAACCTTGTCAAACACATAGGTTGGGTACAGTTGATATGGAATGACCCATACTGGAGACAGTGGCGAAATATTTTTATAATATAGAGAGATAATAATAATTATATTCAAAAAATATTTAAATTATATAATAGTTAATAAATTTCAAGAAGTTTTAAGATGATTTTTCCAATGTGGTCAATTTATGATTACATTCCCCTGAGTAAAATTGGTGTGTGTTTTTTTCCAGAAAATATTTTACAGTACAAAATTTTTTTGATAATAAAAAAATAGAAATTTATATATATATATATATATATATATATATGACACGTTTAAAAAGTCGCACATTCATCAAAAGTCACCAAAAGTTTGGTCACAGAGATATGATATGACATAAAATCTGAATCATGGTGTTCTTTCTTTAGAAGAAAGAGAGAGAGAGAGAGAGAGCTTGATATTCAAAAGTTTTTTTTATTCTTCTTAAAAAAGTTTTTTTTACCTAGCCCCCCCCCTCTCTCTCTCTCTCTCTCTCTCTTTTCTTTCCTTGGCGTGCTTCGGTAGGAAGAATTCTCGTCCAAAAGTAACATGAAAGAAAAAAAAAAAAAAAAGAACTTTGAAATATTCAACTCGTAAGATTTTCCCAGACTTATAACCCTTGATAGATCTTTACACGACTTGGGCGCAAAAGAGAGAGGGAGAGAGAGAGAGAGAGAAAGTGAAAGAAAGGGGTTTGAGCTCGGACCCCCGTCCGTTGAATTGATTGACGCCTTCGCTTCGCAATCATGTTGTATGTTCGAACTTTCCCCATTACAGCCAATATGCAATGTTACCAACATTCCGCTCACGGCGCAATATAATGTATATAAAGGAACGGGTTAAATCGCTCGACCTTTATTGCCGCGTCTTAAAGCAGTTAACTTAATCCAAAGGGGGTGAAAGGGGGGGTGATGTTGTAAGAGTGCGGGTAAGGTGTGGCAAGGGGAGGGGGAGGGAGGGAGGGAAGAAACTCGGTATTGGATCGCTTTTTGGTGTATTTCTCCGGGAGACAAAAACATTAACATAAATCAGGAAGAACAGTATACGGTGAGGGCGAGAAAGCGGCAATGAGTTCGATGGTATGAGTTTCGTCGAAAGAGTAAGAGAGAGAGAGAGAGAGAGAGAGACTCGGATGTTTATTCGATTCACTTTTACCCCACACCCCTTCTCAAAAACCCACCTTTATCCCCCAGGCACGAGTCTCACTCGTAATTAGTACCGTGAAAACTTGCGAAAACTGATGGTAGTTGCTTCTTTGGAGTCGAACCGTTAGCGTAATGTGTATTTTTAGCGTGTAAGGTAAACTGACGCTTCCCCGCGATACCACTCCAGTTCAGAAGACAAACACAATCCTTACTTTTTCGTTTTCCATCTCTCTCCCCCCCCCTTCACAATGTTTATATAATAATATTTTTAAAAGTGAAAATTTTATGAAATGTTAAAAATTATTTTTCCAAGTATTTGATGCATAAGGATCGCAACAATATTTTTAAAAAAATAGAGAAAATGGTTTATTTTTTTTTTTTTTTGAAAAATAAGAATTGTCACAGAGAGAGATATAAACAAAAAAAAAAGAAAGAAAGTTTGTAAAAGTTTATTTCAATTGAAAAGCATAGTAGGCAAAAGCTAAAGGGATAGAAGGTGCCACTTACAACTCCCACCCCTTCCTCCCCCTCTTTACCCCCTTAACTTCTGCGTGTTGCACGAGTGGCAACCCTCGACCTCAACTCTTTCGCTTTTAGCGGGAATTTCGATGAATTGCTGGCCACTACGAGCAATAAATAATGCATTTTGTGTTTGCCCCCAGTAAAAGGGTCTTCTACCCTAAAGGCTCTGCCACCCCCCCCCCCACCCACCCACTCCTCTTTCCTCTAACTCGTGGACCACCCCTAAATTTTAAAGCGATTTCAAACTCCCGAGTTCTAAAGAGTTCAATATATATATATAAGGAACAATTGACTGCTGACTCTGTACGGGTTGAAAAAGTTAATGTTACTAAACTGTGCGGGAATCTACATTAAGAAAATAAACCCAATAAAAAATTTACTGGCGCAGTACTGGCACCCAGTATTGTCGCCAGAGTTGGCGTAAGTTTGGGATGATAACATTTTACCGGTATTGGCTGCCAGAGTTCGCACCAGTACTGGTTCAGTACTGGCTGAGTACTGGTAGTTTTGTAATTTATTGTACACGGAAAAAACAAACTAACTATTTTAGCACCAAACTGCTTTATCCTTTATTAGTATGCAATTTCGTTTACCTATTAAAGTATGAAATAATGCTTTTTTAGTTTAAAGTAAGTCCATACTAAATAAGTATAATGGTTATACTCTTTTAGTAATAGTGACGTACTTTAAAAGCATAAAGTTGATGCCCGCGAAGTACGACATATAGTCTACCTAAAATAGCAAGAGCTTCTTCCTTTTTGGTGTATAAATTCTTGCAACCTGCGTTTTGGCCACGCCTCCTTCTCCTTCCAACCATTGATATATCGATATAGGCCAAAACGCAGGTTGCAAGAATTTATACACCAAAAAGGAAGAAGCTCTTGCTATTTTAGGTAGACTATATGTCGTACTTCGCGGGCATCAACTTTATGCTTTTAAAGTACGTCACTATTACTAAAAGAGTATAACCATTATACTTATTTAGTATGGACTTACTTTAAACTAAAAAACCATTATTTCATACTTTAATAGGTAAACGAAATTGCATACTAATAAAGGATAAAGCAGTTTGGTGCTAAAATAGTTAGTTTGTTTTTTCCGTGTATACGAAAAAAAAGCTTTAACTGTAATAGAAATAAGTTTCACTGCAATAGTGAAATCTATGCTTCAGGCAATATACTTTTTTTTTAGGAAAAAGTGTGTGAAATTTTTAGTAACCCAACACAAATTAAATATTAACTAAATTAGTCAACTAACTAATTAATATTTTATTATATAATTATAAAATCGAAAAACACAAAGAATTTTTATTCTTTATTAACTCTGGTATAATACTGAAATTTTTGGTTGAGAATTTGTTTGAAACAATGAAATTTTAGTTGAATCAATCAAATGTTTATTAGATTCAGTTAAATTCTTTTTTCATTTGAAAAATTTATTAAAATAATTCTGTTTATTTAGATGAAATCAAAATTTTTTGAATCAAATAAAATTTGTTTAAAGTAACCAAAAAATTGTGTTAATAAAATTAATTACAGGTCATACACAGAAAAAAACTGAGTTCATTTTTGTTGCAGTTCATTCTGAATTCGGTATCATAATGAACAACAACTAACTTCAAGTTACTCAAAATGAACCGGACCCGGATCAAATGTCAGGTTATGTTAGTTTCTGTTGAAATTCAAGATTTTAAGATTATTATGTTGGAAACAAATATTCATTTACAAACTATTATATGTATTATATTTTAAAATAGTATAATATAAATATAATAATAGATAATATATAATAATTGTAAAATATACAAGAATTAAAAAAATGGTATGGGATAAATTTATTAAAATAAGTTTAAATAAAAATTTACATACACAGAAAAAACCTGAATTCAAATTGAGTATAGATTCTATACTCAATTTGATTCGCAACAAAAATGAAACTGGTTGTCTCATTTCGAGTTCTAAGGTAAAAGTATCAAAATGAAACAGGCAAGTTTCATTTTGAGAAAAAGAAAAATGGAAAAATATTGTGAAATAACGAATAATTTTGCACAAAAACATGAAATATAATAATTACAAAGAAGTAAATAACACGCTAGACTTAATATATTTGATTAAAAATTGCTTGTAATCGCGTAATAAAATAATAAAGGAAATATGTTTTTAGGTTAGAAAAATGAAAACATGTGTTTTGACAACAGGAACGGTACTGCCAACTTAAATAATAGCGGTAAATTTAAAAACTTATGAAATTAATTATTATCTACCCGTGTGGAAAAGTGATGTGGGCCCCCAGCGGGGGCCCTTATGGATCGCCCTCATGCCATGAGGGCCGCATATGGATGATCCATAGGGGCCCCTCATGGAAACGACATGCTCATCGATGAGGGCGCCCGCATGGGCGAACCATGAGGGTGCCCCTACGGGCGCCCTTATGGGCCCTCACGTTTGCCCTCATCTTGCCCTCAAGTTTGCCATAATGTTTTTTAATCAATAATATTAATAATAAAAGTTAATTAATAATAAATAAGCTTAAGTTATGAATAAATAACATATTTATTTAATAATTATTCAATTTTAAATTAAATTCTTACTCAAATTGAATTTATTAATTAACGTTCTAATTAATTAACTGTCGGATATAATTAAAAGTAATAATAAATTAATTAATTAAAAAATTAAAAAATATGTAATTTATGCATACTATTAACGGATATTTTCATTTTTCAATTAATTCATACATAGAATTAATGATTAAACGCAAACCTGAGAAATA